GATCTTGCTTTCAGAGTCTGTACAAATATGAATATTATTATTAAATATTGAAAGTATTTGTAAAGTTGTTTTTAATAAAACCAGTAAACGAAAACACGATTTTCGACTGTAGCATAAGCCGTAAGAACGTTGTTCAACTAGTCAGCATGGCGATAACAATAATACACACTGTGCTACCGCCAAATACCGTGGGTAAATGTTACTGGAAGCACAGAATATTTTCTTTCGCTGCTGTCAAGGCATTGATTGAATTACATCGCAATCCTGGCAAGAATAAGTTAAATTCGAAGAAACTATGACATAAGGAGTAGTGCATCTTTCCACGTTCAAGTTTTTTGCTATTATACCCCTGAGAAGATGATAATTTTTTTGCAGTTCTTTGCTGGTTTATTCGTGCTAAAAGTAACCTACTGTATTAGTCTATTTCTTTAATATTCTTTGTTTAGATCTTCGATACCGTGCTGTAGGCTGCGTATATCGTGCTTTTCTTAGGTACGTACACCTTTCATTTGGCTATCTGGTTTCCCGCATTTTTAATGCTAACAATTTCTTAATAATTCAATCTACAAATTTTTCCAGCTTTTATTTTGTAGAACAGTTCAACAGAGCACTGGTTTCTATCAGCTGTCCAGTTAATCAAGCTAACAATCACGAGCCAATCGAGAATCTACGTCGATGTAATCGTCATTGTTGCCATCATACATCAACATAGGCATCTGCGTTATCATAGCATTCATCTGTTACCTTCCTCTCTTCAGCGTGGCTTAACCCTCAACGTCGTAAAGCCACAAGTGCTTTACTTATTAACGATTGATTCACTTCAGGAACTCGATGACTTAAAACTCCATGGCTTCCATAACTCGACGATTTAAAACTCCATAGCATACCTGAGCATATCGCTCCGCTGTATAACGTCCCTATTTTGAAACAGAACCACGTCTGCTGCTAACAGTCGATATCAGACTGAAACGGCGAAAACGAAAAAAGAGTTGGTTATCAACTATCGAGTTAGCCAGGAAGATGTCCTTTCGCGTTTCCTATTCAACACTGCTTTCGACTTTCTTGATTGAAACGGCACTGATACTTCCCAATAAGCCGCAGTTCAACATATCCAGCAAGAAATTTTGCTGACTTGAAGTACGCAGGTGATATTGTGATGGTGAGTAGTACAGGAACTGGTCTTCGTCACCTGACCGCTTTCATATACAAGAAATCTACGAAAGTATGCATCTTCCTTAACCTCCAGAAGCGAAAATTAATGAGCAATCCACCTGGCATGGCTGATCCACAAATGCAGTAGGAAGGAAAAACGGTATTGGCTGAATATATGAAAAATTTCAGCTCAACCGCTAAAAGTAATCGCTAGGATTTATGAACAAAATTGATAGGGGAAGTGACATAACGAGTTATTTGCTTAGCTTTGCAATTTAAAGGAGTTAAGTTCAAACGCAACGCAGAAGTAAATTTCTCTAATTAAAGGTTAATTTTATTGAGCAAGGAATTCACGACATTATGCCCAAATGCAACCAGTTGAAGGTAGTTGACCTGAGAATAATAAGAACAACGTAGTGGTTTGGTGTGATCAAATCAAAGACGCGCCGGAGCTGTGTGATGCGTGCGCTTGCGGCTGCGAGTCTCTTGAACGACCTGATAACTAACTAAAAATCAGACCAAGTTGTAAACGTAAAGTTAATACATTTAAATTTAATTTGAATATACAAAACTCACTACTTCATATATTTGATGCATGTTACTGCCAAAGGCGCCAGACTAACTTAAACCGGTTGTCCTACACGTTTTCGTGAATTGACATTTTTGTTCGAATGCTTGGTCTGTTTTCTGATCTAAAAGGGATTTGATATGCTCATCGTACTTTCATCAGATTCGAGAGTTTTGAGTAGTTCTATCTTTTCGAATTAGGCACCAACCTAAAATTCAATGCAACAGTTATAATGGTTCATAACGTACCGAGAATGATAGTAAAAAGGTATGCGGAAACGGCACGCTTCTTTCTTGCATGACGGCATAGCTCCACTAAGAAAACCGCGATACTGCGACGCGCCACTGCAGACTGTAGCTGCAGGTTCGGTAAAGCTGATTTGATGAGCACCTTGAAAAACACCATAGAAAAACCAGTCTGAAACTGAATATGAGGGCAATTACTTTAATCTCATCACTGCTGAAAAACCGGCACAAGTATTCCAACAGTCTAGCACTGACGTGCGCTAAGCAATCTTGTATCAGTTCTTCGGGCCTTTTGATAATGGCCAACAGGCATGGTATCAAGTAAAGGGCAAACACTCTACGAAAGAATAAAAAGTTTGCATTATAAAAATGAACTATCAACATAAAAAAAATTAATGCGGATACCTTACCTCAGCTAAATTCCACTTCCAGTTTCTCGCTCACCATAGCAAAACACAATAACTTTGAACAAAACGAAGAAAATAAACGAGTTAAAACACTTCTTGTAGCTTTTCATTCAGAAAAAACAACCCATTCAGACAAAAAAATGTATACAGTAATGTACGTGGGAAAAGTGTCATTCAAAAGTGGATAATACAATAGTCAGCAGTTTTGAGGCCATTTCCAGTTATGTAGAGAAACTTGCACTGCATTTGGACAGACACAGTTTCAGATTTTAATAATGAACTCCAAGAGAAAAACGGGAAAAAGGAAACAAAAAAAGGAATACAACAGAGCTCTGCTTAATTAAAAAACCAGTCTAACGTGTTCTAGAGTTATCGGACTGATGAACCGAACTAGAGTTATCGAACGAACCGAACTGAACAAACCATAAAAATAGTTTCATCATGCATTGTCATTTTCTGCTGTATATTTCGCTCTATTAACGGAAGATGTTTACCAATCTCTACCAACTTCCGCTTCCTTCATGAAGGACTCATATTGTCTCTCCGATTAGTCTATTGTAGCCTCAGTCAGAAAACTGCTATTTTTCCGCTGACAGGCTTCCATTCAATGAATCGATCAGCCAGGCTGGGTTCTACTAGAATATCTATACTGGCATGAATACGGGTCGTGGAGCTGAAAATTGAGTAGAATGGCTTCCACCCGCAAAAGTACAGAATTCTAGATCTTTAGCGCTTCGCAAGAAATGTTCAGTCGGTATCTTTTGGCATCATCGATTAACTCTTGCTCTTTCCCTCTGAGTCAGATGTTCCAATTTCTCACTGTGAGCTCTTACTGTTATTATCGTTCCCATGGAACCTTATCGGATGTGCTGTAATGGCATCGCGCTGCCTGCATTCTTAGTTCAGAATGGCTAGGAACAATCTTGAAGACTGATGCTCAATTCCTCAGCAGCCTGTTGGGCACTTGGCAATCCGGGCGTCGATCAAACCAGTATAACTTTCGATAACGGCAATCATGAGAGGCAAAGAAATAAGTTTTGTGGAAGATTGCCATGGATCCCAGACCTCATCCTCCTGGACTGGGACGGGCAACGGCGGAATTTTAATATTATTTCATTCAGACTTCATGCGTGCCTGATTAAATGGCGCAAGGGGTGGTGCAATACGCCGTAAGCTTTGTTCTCAGAGGAGAAAACATTATCTAATCATTGTTAATGTTTCGTTCGTCAGTTTCATTGTAATACTGCAAATATAAGTAAACAGCGCAGAAAAAAATGCAGTTTCGCACAACGCAATGCACAATGGCCAATAAGGCGTTCGATTAGTTATTACGTTCTCACAGACAAGTAACCCAGATTTATCATGTCTGACCGTCAGAAATCATATTTCATATAAATATTAGACAACAAGTACCAATGCAGCAAAAATCATATTCCTCATCACCAACAGGTTTAACTCAGAAAGGTGATTTCAGATGTTATAAGGCCCTTAAACATGCCTGCGGCAAACAGACGGTTATAACTCGTATGGAACCAAGTTGAACAGTTCGCTATCCATTGTTCAGTTATGTGAGATCTAATCTGAGATGAGTATACAGGCGCGTAAAACTGATTTGTACGGGTTACAGAATAATGTTTTAATGAAAGATGAGTGGCTGACCGGCTGTGTATCGTCAGCAGTAAAAGCAACGGTCAAACTCAAGCACGATAATTTCTCAGGAACAATCAATGAATATATTATAAAGAATACCAAAGCAGGTAGAGTAAATAAAATAGAGGGTAACAATCACACATCTAATTCAGTTATACGCCGAACCTCCATCCAAGTTCTGGACAGAAAATGCATGAACTGATATACGTAAAGTATACAGTTATGCATCTGTCATTTCCTGCGATAGGGACATCTGTGCTTAGCCATTTCAAATTTTAATAATCGGAAGCATCGGAAGAAATTATTTCAAGTTTCCAAAAGACTGAGATGAGTAATTATGAAAAATGAATAACAAAAAAATGTTTGTTTACCGTCGCTTTTGCGGCATGATCAAATGTACGAGAGCAGCGAATTTTGTCAGCGCAGAGCGAACGCGGCGTGCAGAACAACCGCGCTTCAATTCCCTGTACAGTTCCACGTGTACCCTCAAGATGTTTGCGTTTCCCATGCATCCCTAAAAACGTGATGATCCACCAAAATAAATTTGATGACCTGGCCAAAGAAAACGGATTACTCGCACGATCCGGTTTAAATATTCTTCAGCTAATATCCTCACGTCGGCACAACGGTCGTCACACAGCGAAAACAAAACTTCGAAACTCGACGCAAAGGCTTTTCCATAATCAGGATGCTGCCTATAAATTCACAAAATACTTTTTATAACAGATGATTAAATCATGCGCAAAATTATTTATATACCTGTTGTTCATTCTGTACCAGATATACTACCGACGGTAATTAAGCAAGAAAATCGGAATAACAGCTCAGAAACTAACAGAAACAACCTTCATTTGTTAAGAGAAATAAAGTCATTAATTGTATTTCCGTCAGCAATGACTGATTTTTAAATCAATTACAACTCAAATTAATCTGGCCTTGTATTTTTAATTGCTGACAATCACTCTTATTATGTTACATGCCAAATCATGGAAACGTCATAAACAACGTGCAATTTGCAATCCAATTTATGTTTTTGAAACTACATCTAATCTATTTGTTATAAGCTTACTGGGTGATACCAATCCCTTAACGCAAGTACATGCATTAAAACACATTTAACATATTTTAGATACTAAAATACATATAGCATGAAGCGCGGAGATATAACAGAATCTAATAATTCACCTTAAATAACTTTACTGATATTCAAAAATAATTTTCATTTACCAGAATTGTACAGTCTGTATCGAAATGGCACGAACAGAAAAACAAAGCAAAAATTATTTTACATTTATTTTAACCCAAAACTGACGTCTTTTGAGTTACAGTGAGTTCTGCACTGAGTCGTTATCACGCGAATCAGGATGACTCATGAAATCAATGGCAGTGCGTTAGTCGTTCTTTCTAAGTTACTGATGCTTTCAGTGCAAGTGTCGTCGACATCTACGCTGAAGTCATGAATGACGAGAATCAGTAACGACTCCTCGATTTTACGGGTAAGATAACGTTCTTCCCAAGCGAGGCCTTTCATCTTCTCCCAAGATATGACGTTCTGATGGGCTGCGACATATTTACTGTAGAAAAATTATTTAGCATGCCATTTTGACAATCTAAGGTTCCTTTGACTGAAAACGTGTATCTATGGCACCTGCATTCTTCCGGTTCATTGTGTACAGTCTTCCTTTCGTCTACGTAAACTGAGCCATCTGAACGAGAAGCCAGTCAACCAAATGTGCTTCTGCACTTCCTTTTCTTAGTATTTAGGCAGCTCAGGCGACTGAAGGACTGCAGCACGTTTGAATATACTCTTCATATCTGCCACAGACATAACTCTTCTAACAGATAACTAATATACAGTAAGAAGATAAACATTCTGAGGTCCGGAGCGAAATATATGTTGTATTGACAACTTTTAAAACACTTCGTTTAGCAACTTCATCGGATATCTGTCTCCTTAGCAAAGTCAATCTAATGTTATTTAGATGTTTGCGAAAATTACACTCCTTGATCAAACGATTCTAAGTGCCTACACATTATTCCCGGTCGCACGTCTATGGCCGAATATTTGTTGTGAAGCATTTGTGCAATCACAAACAGGAAGCAACAATAGCTGCCATCGAAATTTACGGCTTAGGTTATTTGTGAAAAAAAGCAATCGCATCTGTATCTGTTTTAATCGCAGGCTAACTGCATGGTTTGCATTCAATTCTATCTTCCTCACTATCTCTGTGATCACCTTGCTCAGAAATTCGACCAGCTAATTTTACAGGATTTTCATCAAGTCGTTTATACCCTTTGCCATGTAGTTCTACACAGTTAATAATATATCTGCATTTGTCTACAATCACTGTTGCTTCCTTTACCAGCTTTTATAATGACCATGCTTTCGTCATTTGCCAGCTCTTTCAATGCAATTAGTTCGAACTTTTACACGGGAATCAGTTAAACAAAATCTCTGTACTTCAGCTTCAGCTCTTCTGTCAAAGCTTTTTACCGTTTCTCACATACACCCTTTCAAATGACGTGGCACTGTCAAGAAATGGCATAAAATCAATTGAGACCAGTGACGAAAACCGGCTTCTGATCTTCTATTAAAACGTTTGCTGCTCAAATTCGTCACTTGGTTATAGAGGCAAGATGATTTCTTTCAAGAAGGATTAAATCGCATTAGCAAGATGTCAAACGTCATGTCATATTTGCATAGTTCGATTATTAGCTTGCAGTGATGGTAAGCATCATCATCATCATCATCATCATCATCTTCCATTGCTGCTTCTCCTTTCGGGTCGCGGAGGCAGACACGTCAAAGAGCGCTTCCAACGTTCCCGATCCTGTGAAAGAGACTGAGATTCGGCAAAAGACAGATGGAGTCTGGAACAAACTCCTTCCATGTATTTGCACCAGGTTAATCTTGGCCGTCCCCTGGGCCTTCTGCCGGTCAGATTTACAAGGAACAGTTGCTTTCCCTTCCTTTCTGGAGGCATTCGCAACACATGCCCCAGCCATCGCAACCCAAGTGGTGGTAAACAACAGAATGAAAATCAGCACCCTGCAAACAACTCCAGTAGCAATTTCTCCACACTGGATAATGGGTCATGGAATTAGAACCAGCGCTATGAAATTCGCATCGCATCATAATCGACACAGTCGATGCAGACAAGAACATGGACCTTATATTCATAGTATGGTAGGTATTAAATAACAGTTAAGGTAACAGAAAAAAACTTAAAATCACCACGTTTGTTGTAATGACGATGAATACTTCTCCAATTTCCTACATCGATAGATTAAACAGGTACCGCAGAGCCCATGAGTAACAATGAACGTAATACCGCAGTTTCTCACTGATACCGCGCGCGTTCCGCAAATTGAACTGGAAGGGCGGTCTGAACATCAACGGCGAACAGTTGCATCATCTACGGTTCATAGACGATATCGTACTTATCGCAAATGATGCTCGATGAATGAAGGAGATGCTGCAAAAGCTCAGAGAACGAAGTAATGAAGTGGGTCTTAAAATCAGCGAAACGAAAACGAAGGTGATGCAAAGTGTCGACATGCCCAAGGCCAATTTACAGGTAGATGGTGTGGACTTGGAAGAAGTGAACTACTGTCTACTTGAGCCAAAAACTGAAAATGCGCCATGATCTCCTACCTGAGATTATACGTCGAAGGGCTGCCGGATGGCGCAAGTTCTGTTGCATCATCGATGTCTTCCAAGTGTCAGAACAAAAAGACCGTGCTCGCTTCTCCAACAGCGTAGTGTCGAAGAAAATGAGGTACAGATGCGAAACGCTGGCACCGATGAAGGCAAAAGAAAATGTACTGACTGTGAAGGAGAGAGCAATGGAATGAAGGATGCTCAGAATGTCTCTTCGTGACCGTATCAACAACAGAAGTCTCCACAAATTGAGTGGCATGTGAGCCATGAGAGAGAGCAAGATCCGTTGGGCAGGCTACGTCGCGCATCTTGATGACAACTGATGGACCTTGTGCATTCTCGTATGGTACCAGAAGGAAAGAAAACGACCACTCAGGCGACCTCCGACGACGTGGCTAACGTACGTAGAAGAAATAGAGGGAAAGAACTGAATACAAACTGCCAAGGACAAAATGGCCTGGAATGATTGTGCTGGGAGTGTGGAAACA